CCTCCCAGGTTCAAGTGATTCTCCTGCCTCAGCCTCCCTTGTAGCTGAGACTACAGTTGCATGCCACCATGCCCAGCTAATTTTTTGTATTTTTAATAGAGACAAGGTTTCTATTAAACATGTTAGTAGTAGACGGGGTTTCTACTAAACATAGCCCCATGTTAGCCCGGATGGTCTCTATCTCCTGACCTCGTGATCCACCCACCTCGGCCTCTCAAAGTGCAGGGATTACAGGCGTGAGCCACCGCACCTGGCCTAGTTATGTTTTTAAAAACAAATTATTGGTCTGCGTCATCACATATTTATGAATCAGTTTTAATTCCATGAATGTCATAGTGATGTGCTGTTTGCCTCTATTTCAGAATATTGGAAAGAAGATGACCTGTCAGGAGTTCATTGCCAATCTGCAAGGGGTAAATGAGGGTGTTGATTTCTCCAAGGATCTGCTGAAAGTAAGCATGGAACTATTGGTTTTTAATGTACACTTATGTTTCTATTTGCTGCTTATAGCTTAATCCTAAGTAGGCTAAGGATCACTTTATTTTGCTTTTTGCTTTTAGTTTTACTCGTGATGTTTCTTTTAAGGCTTGTCCTTGATTTGTCATGCTGCAAAATACCTTAAGTTGATAATTTCTAGAGGTCTGCGTTATAATCAATAATACTGAGGTAAGTAAATTTGGAATGGTTGGTGATACAAATAGTGAGTGGCAGTTTTTGTTTGATTTATCTGTAAATGGACTATCAGAATTTGAGAAAGGTCACAAGGGTATATGCACTATGGAAACAGAGAAGCATTTGCAGGCTATAATGGAAACACTTCCAACTGTGTTCAATCCCTAGTCTCAGAGCCACTCAGGTTGTCTCTGGAAATAGATTAAATTAAATTCTCAGTAATTGTAGAGTGCCTGAACTATTTGCATTTGGCTTTATTATTGGTAACAATCAGCATGTTTTTCCCCATCATCAGATTGTTTTCAAGGAGACAACAAAATCAACTTCGGAATTCATGCATGCTCCAGCATGGTAAATGAGATGGGCATTTGATTGAGTACAAAATAATGGTAATATGAATATTTTGGGAGTTGTAGGATAAGATGTGTACATTGAGAATGTGATTTTTATAGATCTCTATTTGATTCTAGCCTTTTTAAAAACTTAGTACATGTATAGGTTTCTTTTGGAATCAATTTCTTTAAATGAATTTTCGAGAAAGGTGACATTTGAATCAGCTGTGGTATGGAAATATATGACGTGATATGGAAATGTTGAAAGACATGTCCTTTGTTATGTTTTATGTAACTTTTAAGCTAATAGAATAGAGTTCTGCCAGATTTGGAAAGACATATCTACTATGGTAAACGAAAGAAGCCATTACGATGCAGTAATATGACATTCTTAGTCTTACTGACTTTATTTGCAGCACATTACAAAAAATTATGAAAAAAAGGCAGGAAGAAAAGTAGCTTTAATTTATGGAGTAAAGAAGGCATTTTTTTTAGGTCCTTCATAGAGCAAATGCTGCCATTTCTAAAGGTATAATTCCAAATGGGAGCGGGAGATAAACGGTGCAGGATTGTGACGTGATAAAGATGTTTTATAGCTTCCATTAAATCTGGATGGTGTTCACAAGCCTTTTTTCAGTCTAGTGGTATTTGCGTGGAAAATTACGGAGTCTCTCCAAGAGAGGATTTGTGAAGCTTTTATCAACTTATGTCAGAAATGAAAGTTGACAGGAAAATTCTCATAGTGAAGTTTTTAGAATTTAGTGCTAGGCTTAGGGTAACCTGCATGGTTACTGGCAAATTACTGGCTAATTTACAGCATGGTTGGTGGAGCTGTATTAAACCGTGTATGGTTAATATGCAGTCCAGAGGCTACTGTTCACCTTGAGTGAATGTGTTCTTTGACTTCATCTACCAAGAATTTGCCAGATGATTTGTTGCTGTTGTGCAATGGGATTATGTTTGTAAACCTCGGGGAAAATGTGTATTATTTGTTTTTTTTGTTGTTGTGAGAAGGTGATAGTGAAATGATACTGAAAATGGAGGTGTTTAGCATGGAGATTGTCAAGTGAAATACTGATTCTCTTCCATAACAAACCCCAGCCGCTCACCCATCCAAGATGGTTTTCCATTTCAATAGGAATGGGTTTTATTGAAAATTTCAGTAAGAAAAGATTTTCTTTAAACCATGTTTGTTTCATTTCTCTATTCTGTGTGCTGTTCATTTTTCCTTCCCTTTCCTCCCTTTCTTCTTGACTTCCTTTTGTCCTGGTTTCTTTTGATTTGTCTTTTCCTTTCTCTTTGGCTTTCTGGTTTTCTTTTGGTATCTTTTTTTCTCATTCTCTTTGTCTTAGGATAGCTATCGCTGGATTCCCTGCTGAGATAAATTATGAGGTGGAATATGTACTTGAATTTTGGGGGAAAATACTGTTATACATGTGTTACACACATACATACCTACATAGAAACTTTTCAACGTTTGGTGTCATCTTACAGGTTTTTTAATATCCTGGTCATTCTCTCTTTGCCACCTTTCCTATCTCCACGTGACAGGTGTGTGTGACATTCA